TTTTTTCAGGAAAAGATAGTATAGCTCAGTTGCTAATGTACTTGCCTTGGAGCCCTCGTCTTCCATGCTAGGAGTTGCTTAATGCTAACATTTGACTGCGGTATTAGAGTAGTGCTGTCCTGCAAATGAAGTCAAACAGGTTCTTTCTGTCATTCTTTGATGTGTTTCTGTTTCACTCCGCCACTTGTGAGTTATGAAGGGCCAACTCCTAACTCATAAAGGCATTGCTCATATCATAGTCCATTAATATAATATACCATATTACATATATGCCTATTATACAATTTGTTCGTAAAGGACTCCTCACCAGGGAAACTCTGTCTGAACTTTTGCGTGGTAGTTTCTCTGCTTCTAAGAAGACATAAAATATCACTTCAGCAGCCACAATTTATTTGAAATATGGATTTTTTCCCCCCTCACAGTTTTCTCTAGGAAATAAAGAAAGGAGCAAAGGACTGTTTTATAAAGCCCTTCAGAACTGTCCCTGGGCAAAGGTAAGTGTTTTTGTTTTGTTTTGTTTTTTTAAATTTAAGTTGGTCATCAAGGAATGAAGATTTTTATATTTAGAAATAAATTTGAAAAGTTTAGGATGTAATTAGCCATGATACATATGTGGAAAAAGAATGAAAACTGAGGGAACTCTTACTGTCAAAAGATACTAAAGATTGACTACAAATGAGAGGTGAATTTGCAGGTCAAACAATAAATAAATAAAGTGGCCAGTGGAGTTTTCAGTTTCATAAGTTGAGGAATCATATTGTATAAAGCATGGAGACGATCCCCCTCCCTGTGACCCTGGAGAGATGGTGTTTTGAGTTCCGTGTTTAATTCTGAGCACTTCAGTAGCAGAAATATGTAAAAGACAAATTAGAAGGAATTCAGAGAATAGCAGAAAATAAATAAATTGGCGAGCACCTATGACTCCCATTGAAATTAAAAGGAGCTTCAAGAACTTCAGCACGTTTCAGACCCTACATTTGGTTGCTGAATAAAAGAAATATACTTTTAGAAACAGAAGAGACCTAGTCATTTATAGTCCATACCCCTGACTACAGGATTGCCACCCTATCTTGATTCTTTCTTCTATGTATGCTGAAATGCTGGTTGCATCTGCTAGTTGTATGTACTCCTTTCTGTCTAGTCCCTCTTTCTTGAACAGAAAGATGGCTGAGTAAATGTTTTTTTTTAAATTGTATTCATAGGTGCTGTATATGGATGCAATAGAGTATTTTCCAGATCAACTGCAAGAGACCCTAGATCTAATGACTGAAAAAGAATTGAGAGTAAGGGTACCTATAGAAGAACTGGAATTGCTACTGGAAGATTAAAAGAAGATGGTGAAAGAACAACAACATCAACAAAAAAGAAAAAGAAAAAACAAGCGAAAAAGGGAATGTTGATGTCCAAAAGTTTGTCTTCAACTATTATCTTTGACTGGGACTTCAATGGATTATGCACATGTTTTTCTTACTAAGAATAATTTGTTAAAAACTTTACTATTACTATGCCACAGTACTAGCTGTAAATATCCTAGAATTTGTTCCTCATCTTGTAGTGGGCTGCTTTACATATGTAAATACATCTGTTTTTCTGGAAAGTACAGCAAAATCCACAAAATGATACTTACCGATAATTAATTGGCTATTGGACCCCACCTACAACTCGTATGCTACAGTTTAATACAGCCATTCCCTTGAATTCAGTGGAATGTCAAGACATGCCTACTACAATTTGCTAGGCAGCACAGGAAGTAAACATCTGCCAAATGTACCCTTTACAATCTGCTGCTGTCAACAGGCTATATACATGCACACCAAGCAAGACAAATTTATAAATATCCACATATGTTCCAGTATCTTGCTCTCTGTACAAAACAAGAAGATAAGTAAAACTCTTGAAAAAATATCCAAACAATTAGCTCAATTGATAAACTGTTAAATGCCAAAACTTGTTTGACAAGGTATCAGTTTTGTCTTTGCATGTGTAATGATATGACAATTCTAATGTAAATATTTATTAAAACATACTTAAATATTTTAATCTAGTGGAACTTGGATTTTTTATTTTTTAAATGTTAATTTTGGTGAGGAAAATGTATTCATCTTTATTTTTAATATCTAGATCTTTTCTAGCAGCAAGTTTTTGTTTTGTTTTAAATATGCAAGCTATTATAATTAACTTCCCTGTACTCCCAACATACACTGGGTAATTGTCATGAGAGAAATAAATGTTAATTCTGTTTTGAGGTGCTCCTTCCTAAGGTGAATACTCAGGATATTAAACTGTTTATAGCAACTCTATACTTTACAGACTACTCGCCACTGATATAAGATGGAATATGACAGCTGTTTAACAGTACATTGCATGTTTTTTCCACTTCCCACCATAAACAAATGTGTAGTGTTACTATGTTCAGGTGAAAATAAATAGGGAATTTAGTTATATAGAAAGTGCTAAAATATGAACAAGACACTGGATTTCGCATCCTTGTTGTTAAGACTGGAAGTGATGGGGATCTGAGTTTTCATCTGTGAAAGAAACTACCTCCAACAGTAGAGCCCTTCAATATCATATGGGGTATTGGTTTTGTATTGACTCTGAAGGAAGAATGCGAGCTACTCAATCACTTATACTTATCTCTGCAGCAATAAGATATACCACAGAGGGCTCCTGTCCAGCCCAACCCTGGTCAGCTGATGAGATCTGTTAGCATTGCAGCACAGGCTGTTAAGTCCATTTTAATATGCATTGTAATTCATTTATCCATCTTGTGTACTTATTTTGAATATAGTAGGGCAGTTGCAGATGTTCTTAAATTTTATAATACTTCTGTGGCAGCTTTTACTGAAGATCTAAAATTGCTTTACGTAGTAAATTTAGTCTTATATTATCGCTCTGATTAAATGTAAGTATGGCCACCTTTTTGTTTCAAAATTAATGGATTCAATGATATTTTTCTTTTTAAAAAACCCATTACTTCTAAAACCCCAGTTTCATGTGAGTCTGAGAGATGGCAGGAACACTCAAATTAGAGCTAGCAGCTTGTTACTGGGTGGTAGGTGAAGAAAAAGAGGTCAGACTTAACTTCTTTGTTTCTTTGATGGGTCAAAAATTGAATCACTCATTCTCTGTTCCCCTTTGAGATGTGGCCAATGGTAGGGGTTTAGAAGAGGATCTGGCATGCCTAGGTTCTGCCCACCCTTGGAGGTCTGTTTTTGCTTTGCTACATTGCTTTGCTTTTTCTCCCACGGGATGGGGAAGTCCATGGAGCTCCTGCTCTATATTATTCTTCACCTCTCTCCCTACATTGATCCTCTTGCTCACGCTTGTCCATTTTCTCTCCTCCTAGCTCACTTTACCGTGCCCCCTCATCTCCCAGCACCAGAGCTAGAACGTTTGTGTGGTTTCATGGGTCTCATTTCTCATGCATAAGAGCAAGTCACTAACTCCACTCCACCCTCAGAGAAGTGTAAGCAGGTTGAGGGTGGTGGGTGCAGGCCCATTTCCCCAGACCCTTTTCTCGCACCTGAAGAATAAGAGCAGCAGTAGTGGCTGGCTGGCCCCCAATTCCATGAACTTTCTGTACAATGCTGTATGCAGATGTAATGCCATTCCTTATTCATACATGATATTTCCCCTGCTTATATATCTGAGTTAGCCCTCTTAACCCAGCTTCAACCTGGTAGTTCATGTTCAGTTGGTTAGGCACCATGACCCTAAATCTATTTCAGAGTCACTGCTTTCCAAGATACAGTTCACCATTCTGTAAGTGTGACCTACGTTCTGTGTCCCTTGTAGTTTGGCTGTATTAAAACACATGTTCAAGTGAGCCCATCTTATTATGTGATCCAGATTGCTTTGTAAAACTCCCCTGTCCTTCGTTACCATTTCACCAATTTTAGTGTCGTCTTTAGTAGCAATGGTTTTATATTTCCTTTGAGATTACTGATAAAGATATTGGCTGGCACTGGGCCAAGAACAGATTCCTGCAGAATCCCACTTGAAATAGCCTCTTGGATGATGGTTTCCCATTTACAATTTACTTTTTGAGATTTGTCCATATGTAATCCATTTTATGGATTACGTTCCATTGGTATTCCATTGCTATTCTTTATATTGTTAATTTTTTAATCAGAATGTTGTGCAGTTCTAAGTCAACTACCTTACAGAAGTCTTAAGCATACCATGTTCAGAATTACTTTTTATTATTCAGCCTTGTAATTTCATCAAGAAAAATCAGCTTTGTGTCACATGACTTATTTTTCCATAAAACCATGCTAATTGTCATCAACTACACTACCATCCTTTAATTTGTTACCGATTGCACCCCGTATCAATCTTTCCATGATTTTGCCTGGGATCAATGTCAGCCTAGCCGGAGGAAAAAAGGTATGGGTCACAGAAATATTACATGTCTACTCAGTTTCTGGAAGTGTCCTTTTTCCATATCCCTGACCTTTTGAGTAAGGGGTTAGAGCATCTCTGAGACGCCCAACAAGTTCTGCAGCAAAAGCAGGAGAATTGGACTGTATATTCCTGACATTACTAAGTTTTTTTTTTTTTTTTAAGCAGATTTTTTATTTTTAAATCTTTCAGCTCATCTTTATCCATCATAAAGCAGCAAGAGAGCGCACAAGCCCAATGTTTACAAATTCCTTTGAGGGACCTCTGTAAGACAAGTCACTCCTCAGGCATATAAAAGGAAAGTTTGGCATCACCCTTGTATTGGCCCCTGCTCCTTTGCCATGGAGAACCCATTGTTCTCATACCTCATTGTCTTGATCTGTATCAGTGAGCCAGGCCCTGCTCCTCCCCTTGTAGTACCAGAGGGTGCCCTAGGCTTGCTGAAGAACTGGAGTAGCAGCAATGGAGTATTAAGCCAGATTCCTCATCTTCCCTCAGCCCATCAGCAGACATGGAGCAGTGGTAATAGTAGGTCTGACAGGACGGAGACCCCAGCTGGAAAAACCAGGAGCAGGGTGAGGAAACCTTTGTCCTACCTCCCAGTCTGAAGAATGGGAGCAGCAGCAATGGCAGCAGGCTGGACCCCTCATGCAGGTACTGACCCCAGCCCTATGGGGGAGGAACTTGGGGGTGGGGTAACCTGGTCTTGGTAACCTGCCCAAATTATGAGCCATTGAAAATCAGGAGCCTGGGTAGATAACTGCAAGAAGTTCAAGAGCTGTAGGGAGCAGGAGGAAGTTTGAGGAGGACTGCTTAGGGGAAAAGACTGAAGGGAAATGATATCTGATTCTGTGACTGGTCATTTAATTAATTTAGTAAGATTCATTGCAGTAGTCCAGTTTAAAATCCACCCCTCTCTATTGGGTATAAGCCTGAAGATACAGGATCAGATTCTCAGCTGGTGTGAATTGGTGTAGCTCTATTAGCAACACTGATTTACACCAGCTGAGAATCCAGCCTACTGTGTGAAATTCATCCTGAGCCAAATTTTCACCTTCCTTCCATGGAATTGGATATACTGTCAAGTTAATTTTAGTCCCGCAACACGACTGTACTTTCCTCTTCAAATAGGCCCTTTCACTGAGAAAAGTGCTTGTGAGGTAGAGCAGTGGTCTCCAAAGTGGGGTGCGCAAGAGGATCCTTGGGGGTGTGCGGCAGAAGTCTCCCTCCCACCCCCCTGGCAATTTGGGCGGGAGTCCGAGTGCTTTTTTTTTTTTGCTTCGGCAGTTCGGGTGGGAGTTGGAGTTTTTGGGGTTTTTTTACTTCAGCGTGGCAGGGGTTCGTGCTCAAAATTTTTTTACCGATGGGGTGTGCGATCAAAAAAGTTTGGAGACCATTGAGCTAGAGCATGCAGTGCTTTCTTTTCAGTACCATAAATGTCCCACATTGCTTTGGATTTAAAATACGTAGCTCCACATCTGTGTGATGAACTGTGCCTGGAAGACACAATGGCAAACTGGAGCTTTAATGAACTGGAACTGACTGCTGGAGATTAAGCTGCCAACCATGTAGTGGGTAAATGGGAAAAACCTTTTCAGAACTACTATGTCACTGTTTCTATCGCATTGGGCTAAGGGAAAAAGATGTTTCCACAGTGTTTTCTTCTGTGTAGTCATTTTAGAAGTGCTCTGCCCTGTATCTCCTATTCCTAGGTAAGCAAAAAGGTACTTGGACCAGTGGTTCTTAGTAACAGTGAATGATCATTTTTCTCTCATTACTAAGAAGGGAACCTAGCAGAACTTTCCTGGATGAAGTTTGCTTTGCCATCTGTGATTCTGGATTGTGTGGATTTCATATCAAGGTCTCATCAACACTGATTGTTTGCATGGAAAGTCTTTTTTTTTTTCTTCTTCTTACCAAAATATCTGTTTCTCTAAATCTTTGCCTGAGACCAGATGAACCCAAACCAGTTATATTCTATAGAGTGGGAATTCAGAGGCTGGGCTTTGAACTTTCAGCTAACAAGATCTGGGAGGCAGTGTATCCTAAGAGATAGTGCACTGGACTGGGAATCAGGAGCACACAGTTCAATTATTAGCTCTGCTGCTGGTTTTCTGTGACCTAGGGGAAGTGACTTCCCTGACTGAGCCTCACAGGGATAATGATCCTGACCTTCTTTGTAAAGCACTTTGAGATCTATGGATCTATGGTGTTATTGCTGTATATTTTTGTTTGCTGTCTTTTGAATTTTAATCATATTCTATAGTACCTGGCCTGTAAATACAAAGATATCAGTCTCCAAGGCTGTCAGTATGACTGAGATTCTCCAATTATATATTTGGGGTAGTTAATTAGGAAATGGCAGTGACCAAGAAAGTCAAAGATAGTGTTTAATGAAAGCAAACCCCTCTTTTAGATGATTGCCCAGATGCATTGCCTGCCATGGAAACTGTGACTGATGTGTACGAAGATGCCTCCTGCCATACAATGAGTATGTGACTTGTCACTTGAACAGTTGTAGGACATGTGGAGCTGTCTTTCTGGGCTATGACAACCTCACTGTAAATTGCAACCAGTGTAAGTCATTTTGGGGGAGGAGGGAATTCCTGTCACTTACATATAGATTGTACATTGCAGTGTTGTAAGTCGTTTTGGTCCCAGAATATGAGAGAGATACGATGGGTGAGATAATATCTTTTATGGGACCAGTTTCTGTTGGTGAAAGAGACAAGCTTTCGAGCTACACAGAAGAAGAGCTCTGTGTAGCTCAAAAGCTTGTCTCTTTCACCAACAGAAACTGGTTCCATAAAAGATATTACCTCACACACCTTGTATCACA